ATTAGCAAAATACAGCGGTATTGTTAGGTTCACTGATTAAAAAAGAGTAGAAAAAAAGAATGATTATCATAATTATATTTTATAAATGTTCATTATTTTTATATTTCTATAATTTTTTATCACTTAGATTTTATAAATTGAAAAGATTGTTGATAAGTATTAAAATGTAGATGATAATCGAAGTACAAAAAATAATTGTCATTTTTTAGAAGTCTGATTAAAGGTTTATTAGAATAAGGTTTGTATTAAATGATTATATGAATAAATCTAATTTATTGTATGTATATTTTTGTTAATTAACCGACAACTGCTTTCTATTTGAAATGTATTAATTTCTTGTGCCCCGCAATAATGCTTGCGCTATATCTTCAATCGCAGTAATAATTGCGCAGTAATAACTTCAATTCGCAATAAATACTTGTAAGCGAAGTCGAGAGTTCAACTGCGTAGGAAGAGGCCTGCCTGATAGAAACTAGATGCCCGAGTCATGGGCCACATTGTTTGGGCCAGGCCGATAAGGCCACAACGTATTTTCACCCCCTTAAAAAGGATGCTGGGAAAGCAACGAGTCGAAGCAGGCATTGATAGTTCCTTGCGAACGACCAAACGTGCAACAGCGTACAAGTTGTATTTGAGAAATAAAGTCTCCGATATTTTGAACATTGAATAAAATCTATAGCTTACATACCAGCAATTATTACACCCATTAATTTTTTTATATTACATTTATATACATATTTTTTCAAGATTCGTTAATTTTTTTATTAGATCTTTAAAACATTTTAAACGATTTGAAATAGAAAGATTTTGGTTTAATTGTATTAAAGTTATTTGGTTTTTAGTTGAAGTACAGCTTTCTCCAAAAATCGCAGTAACACCTGCACTTACCCTACAATCTGTAATTAGCACTGCGTCCGAATTTACCCGGCGTCCGTATTTTCCTCATGCTCCCCTACTATACAGTTAGTTGTAACGCGCAAGAATCATACGACTGTGGATGATGCATAGACGTGCAAACTGATCACATGTGTAAGAGGAATAGGACGTAGGCAATTAGGAAGGCGTAAAATGATGGAGGCCAGACGCCGGTTCAGGACCCGAACTATTTGTTTAAAATAAGATCGATAACGGAACGCATGGTCTTCTCGGTGGGTGAAGTCATGGGACTGGGACTGGATGGGCCCAGGCATTTTTTAGTCAACCCCTGACTAGGACACATCATCTTTTTGCGCCTCTGCTGAATTATTTAATAAAGTTGGATTTTTAAGATGTAGTGTGTATTTCTTTAAACGTAGGCTCTTACAATATTTATGCGAAAACTAAATCAGAAAAGCAGCAAACATCGAATTAGAATAATTTAAATAATCCACGAATATTCTACGTGCAACAAATAAATCAACCCTATAAATTGAAATCGTGTAAGCTACGAAAACTGAACAAGTATTGCATAATCAACTATTTTTATGTAAATGTCTGTTTATGACAACCTTATAAGTTCGAAATCGGAAATTAAAACATGGCGCTCGGAACAAAAAGTAGTGAATTCACGTTTTTCATTAAAACGGAGGTCCCGAAGCTTGCTATAATCATTTCCACGCCATCACCGTAACAATTTCACAACAGTATAAGTGTCATTACGGACTCTTTGTAACGCCCGATGATGTTTCGTGTAACATGAAAATGGAGTCATGTAACTCCGTTAACAGACCATTCCCCACGGATAATATATTTTACGAGCAATGTATGTATAATGGACTCGGGCGTAGGTGAAAAACTCCTAACCAAATTTGAACAGTCATTTCCATCAATTTATAATAAACGAACACGACAATGAAAACGTTGAATGGTTTAACTCACGACGTCTTTTTATATCGTCAAATAAAAAATAAACAATTAAAAACTAATCAATTCCCGTTTGATTAAAAACGATTCACAGGAAGAAACAGTCAGGTCTTGAAATATTTTAGGTGATATTTTTACAATCATGAAAATAGTTACATATATACAAATATGGCATAAGAATAACGTTCTTTTCTTATCATATTTCGTTGATTTCCCTGTGTACGTATTGTGAGGTGATAAAATGGACGAATTGTTTACTCGATGCAGATGAAATTTGTGAAAAAGGAGAGTAAACAAGCTCAAAACGCCGGCAGCTGTTCAAAGACATCTATAATCTATATTCTGTACTACACTATAGGAAGGGAACGTATACCGGACGTGCATAGGCGTTGCATGAGCCGGGTACAAAAGAAGTTATCATGAGTCCCGCTTAATCGCTGTTAAAATCCTTAATCACGTGATCTCCGTGATTTCTTTTACCCGCGATCGTTATCGCAACATGGCCAAATATAGAAGCGCCTCCGCAAACTTAAAGGATCCCCCACAAAAGATAATTAAAGTAGAATCGATTTGAAATTCCCAAGGCTAAAATTGCAAATTGGGCTAATAAAAAAGTTGTTTATACGTAAATATATCTTTCGTAGAAACTTTTTACGACGATTTTATAGCTTTCTTCTGCATATCAGAACTGTGTCGTTTGCGACTTGCATACTACGTATGTAAGTACATACTAGTTAAGCATGCAGACGTGTGTCACATGGATAAACGATTGTCACTTTATCAGTTGATTAACATCTGAATGAAAAACATCGCGGTGAACGATGAGGATACGCGATGCCGGTTTATGTGAGATATAAAATCCTCTCTTCCCCTTGTACTTGAGGTATCTTGGGTACAGTTGTAAAACTGTTGATGTCAAAATTATCGTTGATTTATACGAAGGTCGAACTCGGTTGACCTATATTGTTACCGTTTGAATATTTAAACATTCAAATGCACGTAGTGTATACACATTGCTCATAATGATAAAAAGATCGCACATACATATACAATAGATGTCCTTTACTTCTTTACCGCGCATTCGCAATTTTAGACCGTTACATATCGACGTTCATTGATTGTTCAAAGAATTTCATGGAAAATATACTTAGAGGGAAATAAAAAAAATAATGCATCATGAAGTATTCCAAGAAGTCGACCAATAAAGAAAGTAATGAGTAAAATGTGTCGATTGCCTGAATGATTTAATGAGTCATGTACGTTGATTCCCAGTTTGTATTTGACTCCCATACCACATCATGTCTCTTTCCAGTAATTTACCTCGCAGCTGTGTCATGTCCCCAAGGTGCAGCCAAAGAGTGTTACAGTGTTACTTATTAAACTATGAGAAAAGTCGAAGCTAGCCAACAACTTTTCTCAAATTGATATACATTGTTGTATCGAGTCTTTCCTGCCCTCCTCAATTGTTTTCACCGAACGTTTTTAAGTAACCGAGAGAAAACATATTTGCAATATTATTTCGTCACTTAAAGAAACATAAACTTCCTCTTAACATTGTACATGAGAACATGTTTCCAGATTTGAGATTCCTAAGACAAGGCATTATGTATTCTAACTCTAAAAAATGAGAGAGAAATAACGTTAGATATCTGAAATAGAACTTGAAATACTTAAAAAAATTAACTCTGTAAGTGATCTCTGAAATTAACACCCATGCGTTTTTCAAGCCGCGCTAGAAGATCGTCTTATCGTTTAGTTTAAGACATCAGAGTCCAATTACCGTCAGATTTAACGAGGCGACGCAGTATGTATTTCTACGTTGTGTTCGAATGCGTAATTTCTGATGTATCGCGAAAAGCTCTATTGAAATCTGCAACCGTTTCTATACATTATTACTGAGCATTCAAATTGGTAACCAATAGGGTGAATCGACCGAAAGCAATTTCAATTATCAAGGTTAATGTTACGCGATACCGAGTTGTTGCAAAGTTCGTGTATTTTCACCATGTGGTACGGTGTGCACAAATGATGTGCGTAATAGACGATGCACGTTTTCAAAACAGAAAATAGCAGCACGATTCAAAACTTTTTAAGCTCATTGAGCCAATTGCACTCTTCACATGAATCCCCTTGGTTGTGTCAGTCACATGGAAAACCTTATCATACTTTATTGAACATACATTTCGTTGCTTCTTCATTGTTGCAGGTTCAAATAAATTGTTTTGCCACGAGAACAGTATTATCAAATACGAAGTGTTCTTGTTTACATAAAAATCCAGCGCGAACGTGTTAAACGCGGCAAATAAGAATCCCTTTCATGAGCAATACACAAGTCACGGACGGTTGATACATAGAAATTTTCAGTAAATAATGAAATAATACTTACATACTTGTGTATCTTCGCTCGTTGATTCGTCTTCTCCGTATTTTATCTCAGAAGAATACGTCTTTAATCCACCTTTGGCACTATACGAATAAACGAAACGAAATGAACCGAACACTCACCGATCCTCTCTCGCACTATCACAAAAAATCACTTTATATACGTACAAATACGCGCATGATATAAAGAAAAAAGCAAACGCGTGCACAGCGTCACACGCGCGTAGACTATTAGCGAAATGCGTAAATCTACTCCGAGAATAATCACAAACGCCACAACCGCACCGTACAACGAACGACGCTCGACTGCGAGCCGGGTACCGAAGTGGATGACGGGAAACGTGTGAACGCCGCTTGCCGCCGTGGCGAACACCAATCAGCGCCCACTAAAGCTACGTATACACCGGAAAAGAATTTGATGAATACTATTCGTAAACAATTATTCTAAACTTTCTGTTTATAATTATTACTTAATTTTTATGTTGTATATAATGCATTTAAGAACAGTTCACAACAGATTTATGAACATTATTTACAATAAGTCGGATCTTTTCATATTTTGAGTTTGGTAGTAGAAAATCCTACAAACTTAACTCAAAGTATACGATTGTAGAATATAGTATGTACACGATTTGATTAGTTTCAATAATGATTGGATTTTTGAATAGCCTGAAAGTAACTTTCAAGTGATAAAATTAATTTTGAAAACGAATAAATCGTTAAGATTGACTATAAGATGTGAAAGTTACAACTATAAGACTGATTTAATTTGGTACTGACCATTTCTAACAATATTTATGAACTATTTTGAAATAAGTAAACATCTTTAATCTACACATTGTGAAGAAAAATATCGTTTAATATATAAACGGACGATTTCTGTAAAACGAATTCTCACATTGTTCTCAAACTGTTCTTCATCGCATGTAAGGACGCACCTTAATGCCATTCGCTGCCGGCAATGGCACTGACACACCAATAAAGAGACACGGATGTACACACAGAGAGAAAGTGAGAGAAAAGGGAAGAGAGAGAACTCGCGTCTCTTCTCTTTTCCCTGTTCCGTCCCTCTTCTACTCGTTTCTCAGTCTCAGTTTGTCGAGTCAAGGGCGTCGACCGACAGGGGCGATTCGCTGTTTCCTTATATTGGTGCAGAAAACCAATAATGGCTAATTTCATAATGATCATGAAATTACAAGTTTTCTCTTTCCGTTCCAAGATATTACAGTATCGATCGAACGAATTCGTTCCAGGCTAAAACGATCTCGGTTAAAGGATCGCTCCGATGTGGTTACCTATTGGAAATTTTAATGACTATTTAACTTACGAACGCTTCGTCGCGGATGTCTTAAGATCGATTTACACAGAAGTGTACTGTGCCGTTCCATAATTTGAAAAAAGTTCACAGTAGCCGGAGACCGTTGCCAGTATTACCGGAACTGAAAGATTCAGTTTAGAGTATAGATAAAAGTTGTAGCCTGGAGCTTTAATTCTAAGCAGAACTTATCGCAGTCGCATGTATCTTTTTATTGTATGTATAATTGTAGGTAAAACGTTTTTTGCTACGCTAAATCCAGGCTACGGCACTGGCAGTACCGACAAGCGACTTCGGCCGCCGTGAAATTTTTTCAAATCACGACACGACACAGATCGACTTTTAGCCTCTAACCTCTCACTTCTTAACGAAGTATCATCAAGAGCTTCTTCCTTGTATGCGTAAGGGATTTGACCAGGACCGTGTTTTATGGCGAAAACGAATTTAACATCACATTTCTTTAATTTAGTCACTCTGTAGGTAGTTAGTACCGTACACGTGATTAGAAATAAGATAAGTCAATAGGGGTGGGAAATAAAAGAGGAATGGTAGTCACGTGACTTTTCTAACATTCATCGGTAAATTCACGTTTATCGTACTATTGATAACCGTGACAAAAAAATGCAAAATATGGATTTATGGGAATCGACTTTTCGAATCGATAAGAAGATCTTCGAGAGGTCAGGTTCCTTTCCGTAAAGACGAAAATTAAATCTACACCATTCTGGTTATGGTTAAATAAGAATGTGTTGATAACTGATAATATAAGTCTTACAAAGGTGATGAAAATTGGCAATATAAAGCTGTCGAATTTATGTACTTTTATATCATTTAAAAGCTATTTTTGATAAAACGAATACCAGAAGGATCTTTCCTAAAGGTGCCTGACGATCCGAAAATCATATACAAGAACGTAATCTTCATTTCAAAAGTAAACCCAAATTTTTGATTGACTTAATGGGTAACATTGATGTGCTACCTCAACGCGCGCCTAATTTACTGCTCAGTGATTTTGATTTGATGAAAAACATTGAAAAAGATAAATTTCAAAATATATGAGTCCATCGTTTCCGTAAGCCTCATCAAATACAAGGTTTATATTAGCTGTCTAACAAAATCAATAACTCAATCAATTACTTCGAACAATTTTTATCGACTCGTCGTGCAAGCACGTACATTAATTGAACCATTTGAAAACGTGTCTCGTAGGTAGAAAAATCTCTTCCGTTTGTTCCCTTTTACCACCACGATCGTCCGAGACCATAATTTCTCACTTGAAAAAAAATTTATCGACACCCCTGCTTTCGTTTGTCTCGCTCCCACTCACTGCTAGTAGACTCTCAGTTGCCATCTTCTTCACCCTCGCACAGTAGATGGTACATACATACATCGTAACATCTTTCTCCTCCCACGGTGTTTCTTGATCTTCCACCTCTGCCAGTCGTCCTTCTCGCTCAGCTATTCCATCTTTGAACTTCTCGCCTCTGTCTTAAGGTGCATGTGCACTTGCGTTTACAAACAATTCCTGAATAGGTAGAAATAAATCATCCCAAAAATCGTTTCTTTGAACATCATCTCTAAGCTCGCAGTATATCGGTGTGTGCTGTCTGCTACGTATTCAAGTGCGCAAACTTGTTGCGACCATTGGTTTCTAAACATTGTTCATAAATTATTCGTCGGTGTACACGCACCTTTACAAGTGCGGCCCATCATCGCTATTGCTATCTCGCTCGCTCCTATTTTCCACGTGATGCGTACGTCTCTCACGTTCCATTTCTGTTCATCTTCCTCAAGCATCTCCTTCGACATTCGTTCTCCCTCCGTCTCGCTTTGGATCGCGAGTATCGCAATAATGGTATCTGCGTTCACCAATCCCTCTAGGAACAGGAGAGACACGTCTGTGGGCATCCTCCTCGCACTCAAACGATAACAGGGTGAAGGAGGAGTACCGGAACCAAGTGCCGAACGTTGCTTGTATGTCGCGTGTGCCGTAGAGTGTTCGGCATCGCGTACACAGGACAAAGACGGAATGAGTCAAAGTGCTAGAACCGGACAACACGAGTCAACCGGCAATGTAAGGAGAGACCTTTAGGCGAGCGGGCTGGCGCGATGGTGTGAGTGATATTCCAAGCGTGCGCGCCCAAGAGAGTGTGCGTGTTCATCATATTACACACTGCTCATACATCGTGTCTGCCTGCGCTTTGAGGGCGCGAGGAGATGAATCCCCGATTCGGTTAAACGCCCGCCAACTGGGCATGTTCTAAATCAGACTGTCTACCTGCGACTCGGCTTTCCGTGGAATTCCAATACCCATATATTCCTATTTCGCCGTGCGAAATACGGAATAGTCTGTGTAGATGATGCACACATTTCGTAATTGCAAAAATTATATATTCAACCAAAGAGAATTGGTAACGTTGTAAACGTTGTAAACGTTATGACGTATTTTTGTGAATAAGAAACCGATGATACGTTGATCAGAATATAGAAATGCATTTAGCGTGACTTTAAACACGCGTTATTTTCTGCCTATTAACGCGTCAATGTGAAGAATGTAATAAGCGTGAAACATTCAGTTCAGTAGTACATAGTAGATGAATGAAATATCGTGCGATTATACACCACCTGTAATTTACCATTACTCTCGTCTTTCAGAATCTGCTGCATTTATTGTATCCATTCATTCGCGTATACCTCGAAAGGGAAAATTATGTTATATTAACGACAGTGGTAATAAAACAGGAGAGCTGTAGCCAGAAGGCGAGTAAACACCAGAAGAAAACTTTGTCTGCGGATTAGCATAATAAGTATCGGTGGGATATCGTAAAATAGATAGTTTGTGAAGTACAAGATGCGTATCCTCCACTTTACGAAGGATTTCATTCTAGTCCATGCTGCAACGACAGATAGATATTTTTTAAAAGGAACTACGATAGAGTGGCTTGAAATGGCGGATTAAGGGGAGAAAACTTCGCTGCTACTTCGATTTCCTTTAATCTGACTTCGCTCACCATAATTTCGAGCTTTAAACTTATTCAATTAAAATCACCACATAAGTTTCATTTTGACAGTTCTCACGACGATTCGGTTGGAAAAACAATGCTTAAACAATTACTTTAATTATCTTTAACATTTCTTTCGTTCAGCTTAATACGTATAGTGGTTATAGGAAATATTCTCAAAAAATGTTCTGCACTATAGTTAATTTGCATTTTTATTCAACTGATGATATACAGGGTATCCCAGAAAAAGTATTAGCCGAAGAGAGGTGATTCTGCAGGTGTTTTTGAGCAAGAATTTCAAGAGGCATAGTTTTTGACTTATTAACGAAAAACACTGACCAATAAAAGCACATGTATCAGGCCCCGCGCTGAGCCACGACCGAGCGTCACGATCCGAGCCAACCTATCCATTGCTGAGCGCTGGTCCTACGCGTGTTCTCATTGGTCACTGTTTTTCATTACTAATTCAAAAACCATGCCTCACTTTACATTTTGTTAAAGGGAATTGTTGTTGAGAAACACCTTCAGAATCCGGCTTTAACACTTTTTCTGGGACACCCTGTATTTCAATGTATAAGAGTACACTAGCCCGAAAATCGAGCATGCTTAGTACGTCGAATCTGTCCATCTTTAGTTGAGTAAATTGCGTCAGGAAAACAACACAAGGTACATACCTATATACGTGCACTCATTTACTTATTTCTGTTCGACTGTCAATGTCGTCGTAGAAGTATGCACGAGTAATGTTATGCGTGCTGAGTATACAGCGGAACGTAAATACACGTGAGTATTCAGTCTTTCCCTTCATCTCTCTTTCTCTCACTCTAGATTCCTCTCGTTTCTATCCTCGGCGTATTGTGCTTCGGTTCTCGATCCCTCTTCCGAGCCCTTACCACAAGCCGCAGCCCACTTTTGTACGAACACGCGCGCGTTCATTATCAACGTACAACGTCGTATAACCATATTTACGTAGCTACGGTGGTCACCCACACGGACAGATGC